GAAGAGGAATTGTTTTTACCATTCGGGCCCTCTCCAAAATTCTCACATCTGGCCCTATTGTTTCTCCGCATCATCCAGCACTGAAACCCGTAGTACCAAAAAAGAGTAGCGTCAGGCCTAGAACAGCTAACCGGTCTGCCGATTAACACCAGTCAAAGAAGCCATGATTGAAAGTCGCTTGAGAGTCAATAGTCAATCAGAGTGCTGAGACGTTACCCGAAATGATGTCAGAGAGTAAGAACTTCATTTTCAAGCCTATCACAAAGTTGCTCGTGTAAAAACGATTATTGCTTCCTATGAGAAATATTTCACACCAAATCAGATCCTCCTTCGGGCTTACAGTAAGGGTGGAATTTCATTTTTTCCTGACTTGCATTGAGTGCTCCGTCATTATCAGCTCCTCTTTACCCCCGCCTCCCTCCCTCCTTCACTTGAATATCGCCTAGAATCATAAAGTAGAGCATGTCAGTGTTCCAGTAATATTAGTGTGCTATGTTTTTAAGGCCATCTTGAAATGAAGAGGTGTGGAATTTGTGGAAAGAGGATCGTAAGAAGCGAGGCATTGCGGACCACTGAGAACATGAAGAAGAATTCAATCTGGTTAATGACTCTTTCATTGGCCGGCCAAATGAATAAAGAATGCGCACGTGCTTTAGCTGACTCGATCACACAGAAGATGCCATCCCAGTGTGCCATGTGCACTTAGTGCATGCAGTGAGTTTGAAACAGCTTTTATCTTTTCATGGCTCCCCCACGAATTTTTTTCCCGACTTGGGCGCGCGATGATCCAACCGTGCCGCCAACACAATGTGTGGTGGGGATTAGATCATTTTTTCAAAGGCAACCAGTTTGAGTTTTCACACTATCTACGTCGGGTCTCGGCTCCGCCCTCGTCGCGGCCGGAAGCGGCCCCCAAATTCGTGTCCGTAGGGAAGTGGGACCGGTCTTTTCATCTTCAGCATATAACACATAATTCTTTTAGTGAAACCAGCCTCATTATAAATGTATAGTCTGAGGAATGTAGTCTCGCAGGGAAAAAGATTTCGCATTTCAAAGATCCCAAGGCTTCTAGGCCTACCGCATATGTGTCGAATGGTGACATACCTGAAGGCTTAGTTTCTGCTTTGGATAGAATGTTAGAAGTGGGTTTCATATTCGATGTCAGCTGATTCCTATCGTAGTTACTGAAAAAAATCCTAAAAAACCACAATTTCAGGGGAGCGTCCAGGTTACATCTCTTGATATCAGCAAATTTATCAATTTAGCTCTTAAACGTTATTACTCAACAGCAATGTGGCCTGTTGTGCCTGAGGTAAGAAGTGACTGAGGTGGAAATTTATGTTCCATATCATGCATGATATGGAACTACCATTAAAAAACATCTACGAACCAGATGATTTTATGCGTTGAGAGGTGATGATGTGACTGAGATGAAAGGAAATGGTGAGGAATTCGCTCCCACTAAGAAGGGCTTAGCGTCTGAGGACGACGTCGAAAAACCGTGTTCTGTCTATGCAGTGGTGAGAGGTGAAACAGCTGACGCTCCATTAGCGTAGGTACAGAAGTACCTGTTTAGAGCAAAGACGACATGGCACCTAACGACGTCACGGAATGTTCTTCGACGGGAAAGTCGCTCCAGGAAGCGGGACACAGTGTCATGAAATTGAAGAGATGTGTCATTTGTGGAAAGAAGTTGGCAATAGAAGAACTGAAGTCTTGGTCTTACAAGAAGAGCCAGAATATGATCCTGCTATTTTCCCTATCATTAGCCGGACAAATTCAACCTAATTGCGCACGAAGGATTGCTGAGTCTCTTACAAAAACACAAAAAATATGCCATGTACACGTCGTGCAAGCGGTAAGCAAAACACAGCCAATATGTTCGTTCTTTCGCAACTAAGTTTTTGTTGTAAACAGGCTAAATACATGTTGACTGAAGTGGTGACGGCGGGAAAAAAAATTTCGCACTTCAAAGGTTCCAGTGCTTCAGAACGCACAGCATATGTTACCAATGGAGATATCCCTCAGGATCTTATTTCTGTTTTGAATAGTATGGCAAAGGTAAAATTCATACTCTTGGCCGATGTCAGACTTTGCGATTGGAGCGATTTTGCACCAATTGCAGGAGCGACGTGAAGCGTTGCGAGCGACGGGAGCTTTACCCCGCGAAACAGAGTACAAACGTTTTGGATGCATCTCCACACTAAATTAGACGCGCGCGCTGGGTAGAGTTCCCGTCGCTGCTGCAATTGGTGAAATCGCTCCCATTGCGCAAGTCTGACATCGGCCATTATGCTTCACACTAAGATGTGTTTGCGTAAAACGAAGGACTTTTACTCTTCCCGCAACAGCGTACTTTTTTGTGGGAAACAGTCGCACCAGTGTCAAGCGTCTGAATGGGGCTTATGATCAGTGAAAAGTTTTGCGGTGCGAAAACCTAAAGCTCGCTTTGTCCTAGCGAACCAGGGTGTGATTCACTAAGACAGAAAGTTTCGCGTTTCGCAGTGCGAAACATTTTTCGCTGCAGGAACCTCGGTCCACTGATGAGCAGAGTTTCCCGCAACGAAAAATGTTTCGCGCTGCGTAGCGCGAAAAATTCGCTTTCTGTTCTAGTGAACCACACCCTTGAACCTACTCTTATCTCTTATTGCAGTTACCTGAAATCGGCAGAACTCGCAATTTCAGGGTGGTGTTTCGATCACAGCTCATGATGTTAGCGAATTCCTCAATATGGCTTTTAAACTTTACTATTCAACGGCACTATGGCCAGTAACCGAACAGGTTTAATTTGATCACTAAATTGGAATTATCTTAACTATTTCGTCATTTATCGATTCCAGGTCCATGACGAGGATGTGATGCAGCTGGATCAAGATGAAATGCCTGGTCTAAGTGAAGCAAAAGAAGGATTGTCGACTGAGGGCGATAACACAGAGACAACTTGTACTATTTCTGTAAAGGTAGGAGTTTGAAAGCATTGTTAGCGCCTCAGTCATGCAACTAAAGGTGTCCTTGTTCAGAACCAGGACGATTTGGTATCCGATGACTTGGCGGAATATTCCTCGACAAGTGAATATTTCCAGGAGATGGATCAAACTGCATTAGGGAAATATTTCTTAGTGAGCGGAGAAATGTTGATGAAGTTGTTTCGATTCTGTCCTCAATGTGGACGTAAGCTGGACGCAGTACGACTAACCGTCGCAGGAACAGCCGCAGTTGTTAAATTCACTTGCGAACGATGCTGCATAAATCCACCACATGAGGAACGATGGGAAAGTCAGAAGCGTACTGTTCCTCACACCAAGGAACGAGCTTACAAGGGAAACATGGCTTCTTCAATTGCTGCAATTAATACCGGCTTACCTTATATTGTAGGTTTGCGAATGTTGTTAACAGCATACGTATTGCTGAACGTTGAGAAATTTCACTTATTCAGAAGCTCGAGCGATGGAGCGAACAGCTTGGCTTTGCTTCGTTTTCAAGATGCTTCTTCAAAAAGCTGAGTGACAGCCTTCATAGAACATCTGTGTAAATTTCAGCAGAGCTGTATAATTTCTGTTTCCAAGTGCTACGGGTAACCTTCTTAGTTTTCTTCTTTCCATACTCTGAGTTGTTTCAAGAAAAGGTGTTACAGGTGCACTTGGAGAAGTGTTTTTGTTGTTGTAAAATAAATTCATTTTTCAAAAACTGAACAAATTCATCAATTGCATGAGCATCTATGAGCTTCAAGCGAATGAACAAATCTATGTCTTAATCTTCAGATAGCGCATCGCTTTCGGAAGCAGCATATGTGGTCAGCAAAGGGTTGCTTCAAAATTGTGGACGAGACGAGTTTCGCGGATTAGTAGTCAATTTCACGCTCAATTCAGCAGAGCAGTTGTTACAGTGCCATCCCTGGCCTCTTACTAGCAGTTGAACTTCTATGATGCTAGCAGATCTCCGTGTTGTTTGTTTCTAGAACTCAGGACGTTTCGCCTATAAAACCTCTCTCCAAATCCTGAATCTTCCCATTCTTTTAGGTCACTCACGCTGTCGTCGGCAGTCTTCAGTGATCACTTAGTGTGCGAGTCTACGGCTGCTTTTCATGCGTACAGAAATTATTGCGCTTGTAAGGGAGGCATTCAACTCCATGAAACTTCGAAATAGACCCCAAATCCATATGATTAGAGTGTCAACAAATATCGAACTGACAACTGCAACTGGCAAGGAAGTGTGAGCAGTCAATGTTGATAGTAAAAAGTAAATAGCGATCAATATTGAAGTGCTAGCCTTTCGTCGGCATTCAGAGTTGCAGCGGGAGTGGGTGGTAGTCGCTCGCTCTCCAGCGGAGGTCGTGCTTCCCTTTCACGATAGTGCAAATTCGAAGCATGCCACTACTCCATGGCGACTTTGAATGCCTGGACGGTATCATGATTCATATGAAACGATTTATTTCCAGTTAACTTTAACTGCTCACAAATTACCTGGAGTGTTCATTTAGCAGTTTTAGTTTTTATTATCTGTAGTCAATGTTCGAAGCTCTATCGAATATATGGGTCTCTCTTCAAAGTTCTATGGGAAGCAGAGTGCCTTTCCTGGTTAGTTGCCCAGTAATAAAAAAGCATTGCGGGCACAGTATTTTGCCTTCCCGTTGGAAATCAGACATAAAGAAGAGTTTCATGCCATGATTATTGTTTCTCATTACATAATCGAATGGTCACTGGCGGCGAGTCAGGCTTCACTGCCGAAATATGGAATTACTGTTCTTGATACGAAACTTTCACCGAAAACTCCTACTACGCTCCCCCCCCCCTCCCAACACCGCTAGCAATCACACGACTATTGGATGATCTGCAGAGGCGCGATGACCTTTCACCCTGGAATCAGGGTAATCCCTGTGTTTCACTAGGACTGAAGCGAACTTCGCGCGTTCGCTGCGGGAACCTCTTGGCCCACTTTTATGATCACAGGTCCGACTGAATTGCCGCAGTGAAAAATGTTTCGCGTTAGGGGAAGGAAAAGCGACAAATTTGCACATTCTCTCCTAGTGAACCACACCCTGAATTACTGTGGAAACATTCGCCAATGAAAGAGAAAAGGGTGCAAAGTTAGTATGAAGGTACGTCTTTATTTTACGCCTAATTTAAGCAACGCGTAGTGGTGACGGTTAACGCACGGCCGCGGTAAGGGAGCCGAGTTTAATGCACTAGTCAACCACGGCTTTTGGTATAGTCAACCGTTTAGTATTTATCCGTGTGAGGCAGCATGATACAGAGGAGCATCCATATTTTATCCTCGGAAGGTTTCCAAGCGGTTTAGGCCGATAAACCACCCAACAGCTTTGATGAGAAATGTTGTGCAATTACGCAATCTCCCCGTACCGCCTCACAATTTGTATTGCTTGGGACGTCAAATAAACTTCAAAACTGTTCAGGATGCGAGTACACCAGTTACCTTGTAAATGACGCCTCAATTCCCCATCAATCTCCATTTCTGTTGATCCGGTCTTTTCGTTTTCTGACGTATGTAATTGAGTGTGGATCTCGCAAATTTTTCGAAAGGATGGTAACTGTCTTATTTATCTTCATGAATCTCTATCAATGGCCTTTTGTTATTCGAGGAGCATTTCGATACGACATCGATTTTTATTCAAGTCGAACCATATCAGTTTTTCGCTTTTATTTTTATTTTTTCCATCTGAGAGTGCCGCTCTTGGTTTTATACTTCATTTTATTCTTTTAAATACTTGGAGGAGTGCGCCTAAGTTGGCTTCCATCCGGCTCGGATTGGGTTAACCATCATTTCTGCCGCTAGAAATGTTTGCTTAATGCCTCTCTATCGGGCGGATTTCAATTCATTCCTTGGCCTCATCATCGTTCTTCCAAGCCGGAGACCGTATGGTCTCGGGAATAACCACAGCACATGAAATAAACTCTCAGTCGCCAGATTACAATTCATGTCTTCATATTGGTGAACTGAAAATACTACACTGCTCACAATCCTGCTCGATGGTTCCTGTGAATTTATAACGAATGGCCAACCTGGCAGGTTCTTCGTAAAGTTTATCTAAGGACGCGTTCCAGTTCTGCGACTCGGGGAGATTAGGATACAGGCGAATGGATATTGTGGTAGTATAGAGTAGAGACTGCGCTGCGAGAAGTGCGATACGTACCCAATTGATCGCTAGAGGTAAGTAGCTATGGCGGCGACTTCAAGCGAATAGATCCATACATATCTAATCTTGTCAGCGCAATCTCCTACTCTACTACTATCCTAATCTACTACTATCCTAATCTCCCCGTCAATACATATCTTTTTCATTGTCGCGTTATCCTACTCTCCGGAGTCGCGAACTATGAACAGCGGCTCTAACGTGACCATGAGTAATCTGGCTGTCAAAAGAACAAACCGGTTGAGCTTGTTTTATTCTAAAGTCAACCATTATTCACAACGACCTCTGCTGAACGGCGTGTCCTCTGACGGGAGATTCTTCCCTAGACATTTGAGAACTGTTACGATAAGCGGCGAGCAAAATGAGAGTACTTCCATGCATGCACGCCTATCACCAAGCTTTTCGTCGCATAGGCTTTGCTGTGGCTGTAATTTTTTCGGCAAATATTCCTTAGATGTCTCCCATAAGCGAAAAGGCTCTTCATCACTGTAATCACAGGTAATGAAGTCATCTGCCATAATCTTCGAGCTCGATGAGGACTGCCGTGATCCAGCTTCATGCTACTAGCTAATTTCTTCAATAGCCCACGATTCGTAAAGGATCTAATTGAGTTCAAATCGTACGTCATGTTCTCGTATCGGTGCTGAATTGGGGTGGGAGAGGGGGACCACTCGGCGGCGCTGTTTTTCAAGCGCGATGGGACTAAGCCTGAGCCTAGGAAGGGGTGGGTAAGCTGTTAACATAATGAATAGTGATTAACTTTTGGCAGATCTGAGCATCTTTCTAAGCTCAGGCTTAGTCTACTTGCAATTAGACACCAGGGTCAACCCTGCGTTGCGCAAATTTACGACCCCCTTCCTTTTCGGAGGGTATCGGTACGACCCCCCGTATTAACTATTATGTCTTTCACATAATTTAATGCTCATCATTGATGTGTGGGCAGTCACCAACATGGAGAAGTGGTGGACCGTGGTCAATCCGCGCGCTTTGTCTCGCTCAGAGGAGGGAATCGAGGCAAATGAAGTTTTATTCATTAAATAGAAGGAATTTCCAAATTTTTGCGTAAACCAATACATCATTTTAATCGTAAAGATTTCTACTTTCAGAAACCACCAAGTTTTTTTCGATCTCTCAATTTTCCTTATTTTATAATCTGAAAAACTAAACCTTGTAGCAATTACATTGCAATCCAAACCCCTCCATTCAGAAGGTTATATTTTTTTCAGAAGCGGTCTCATGGAACCGGACACCAAAATTTTAAAAATCAAATAGTTTTCTTCCTAAAAAGTATTTGAAATGTTGCGGATGTTCAATATTTCAAAAAATCGTCCCGTTGTTCCGTTTTTTGTGCACACGCGAGTTTTCGACATTCAAACATTCATAACTTTCTTCATATCAACTTTTTGCAGATGTCTAAGGCTAATTAGAAACTAGAAGATTAGAGCTTTCAAACAAGCACCTGAACTTTTTTCCAGCGATCACTCTCTCAAAAAATAGTCCCGTTGTTCCGTTTTTTTTCTGGACCGCGACTATGCAGTCAAAGGCCCATAACTTCCTTCAAAATTAATGTGATGAGAAGCGGTAAAGATTGTTAGAATCTACTCGAAGAGTACTTCATAACAAGTGTGAAATTTTCCTGAAATTCTTTCTTCTGCCTCAATTTTCCTAGGGGTCTCTAGAATTCAATTCAGCAAATTCGCTACACTTTGTTCCGCTTAGATTTGATTTGAAAGCATCGAAATTCTCTTCAGAAAGTTTGTCTGCTTACGGCCGCTGACAGAGAAGGCGTTTTATGGGAAAACGCCTGCTCGGGTATACGCCGTGCACCTATCTGTGGGCAGAAGTCACTCGCATTTGAAAGTCTTCCATTTTCCTGAAGAAGGTGTTAGTATCTGACTTTGTTCTCCTTGGGATTTCAGGAATGTTCGATCATCGAAGACAGACCATGTTTTT